AATCAGCAGTAAGCCATAGTTAAAGGTCTTGTCCCATCTGCTCTTAGATGCAAAACTGCAGAGAGGAACCAACATTTTAATTCATGCTTACAGTGCCATCAGAAAGCCAGCCTCAAGTCTTAAATGGAAAATGTTTGAGTTTCGAATAGAACTCCAATAAGGGAAAAGATGGCTTTAAACATAAACCTAATGTAATATTGGAAAGCTGATAGCATAAAGAGTCAATATAGGTGTCCTTTTAAGAATTACTAGGTTTTTTTTTTTTTTTTTTTTTAAAAAAGCTACCAAACTGCTTATACTGTACAGGCAGAACATTTTTAGGAGGAATAAACAAAGTTATAGAAGAGAAGAAGAAAAAGAAATGGAAACTCATCATTTGTCTACTACCTGCTAAATATTGCTAAGGCCTTTAAATATCATGTCTGCATTGGTATTATGTCTGAGATTTGATTTAATATAACCTAAAGAAGACAGGATAAGTATGGGTATAAATAAAGTAACACTGAATGAAAATTAATAACTATTAAAGTTTGGTGATGAGCACATGAATGGTCATTATGCCAGTCTCTCTGTTTTTGCTTCTTCAAAATTTTCCAATACTGAAAAATTTACTAATCTATATAATGTGAAAACAAGTTGGGTGTGTTTGTACATTTTTGAGTAAATGTAGGTTCAATCTCTATAGAACACAAACTTCAATATAACCCTCCAAATGAGACACTAACAATTCTGCATGAAAGAGGAAAACATACTACCTGAGTTGGAAACTTTGATAAAGAGGTGTCATTTCAGAGGATCAGAAAAAATATAAGCAAGGAGAAATGTTCATAGAACAGAAGAATGTGGAGGGGAGGCAGCCAGCAAATACACAAGAGGAAAAACTACTTGTCACACAAAAGGCAAGGAAAGGTATTGAGTGGTTACTAGGTCCTAGGACCTGTTGTTAGGTGTTGTACATGATTATCTCATAGAATCCCCACCATGATTTGTAATGTGGATGTTCTTAGCCCACAAGGGTCAAGTATGCATAAAGATCATGCAGATACCAAATAATAGCAAGGCGCAAAGCCTCTGCTACCTGATGCCCAGGCTTAACAGTCTTTCATTATACAATAATGCTATCTTTCCAAAAAGCTACATTAAATATACAACAATAAAAAGCTTTGTTTCAAGTATAAGATTAGGAAAATAATCTAAGATGGGAGAGAAAGAGGAGAAAATTGATTACTCTTGCTATGTAAGTATACCCGGGTTGTTATGGAAGTTTAGAGAGGGTACACAGGGAGAATATACTTAACTACACTGGAGGTTTGAATAGAGTTAGCCAGGGAGGGTTTGGAAAAATGTTTCAGAGAAGAAAATAAGAGAATAGACCCATGGAAGTTAAAAGAAGAGTTAAAGAACTGAGGAACTTTAAACTGACCAGTGTTTAGTCAGTGATTTAATAGACATTTACTAAGAGCCTGCTCTACACCAAAAGTCAAATATACAGTAGTAATCAGAATAGTCCCCGCTTTCAAGAAACACAAACTTCAGTGATACATTAAAAGAATTACAAATCAGACTGGGAATGTTTCCCAGTGGTAGAGCACTTGTTGGACATGCATAAGGCCCTGGGTTAAATTCTGAGCCCACCTCTCACATACACACAATACAAACAGGGAAAAATGATGTGAAAGAAAGACAGTGTGTCACGATAGCACCTGAAAAGGGATGGTGGGATGATCAGAGACAGCTTCTTCGGGAAAGTGACATTTAAAGTAGAACCTGGGGGCTGGGGTTGTGGCTTAGGAGTACAGTGCTCATCTAGCAAGTATGAGGCACTGGGTTCAATCCTCAGCACCACATAGTAATAAAATAAAGATATTGTGTCCATTAAAACTAAAAAATAAATGTTAAAAAAAAGAAGAAGAAGAAGAATAAAGTAGGACCTGGCTGGGCACAGTAATCCCCGAGACTCAGGAGGCTAAGGCAGGAGTATCCCAAGTTTGAGGCTGGCCTCAGCAACTTACTGTTATTTTGAGACAGTGTCTCAAAATAAAAAATGGAAAAAGGGACAGTGTGTAGTTTAGTGGTAAAGTGTCCCTGGGTTCAATCCCTAGTACCAAAAATAAGTAAATAAATAAACTAGGACCTGAAGAATGCACATGCATTAACTGGATGTGTGGATGATGAGGGAGACATTCCAGGCCATGGAAACAGCATATACAGAGGGCCTGAAGAAGAGAAAAAGATATGTCTGAAGAAATAAAAGGCAAGTACGGCTAAAGTATACACACAAAAGAGGATGCAGGAAACGAGGCTGGAAAGGTAGGCATGCAAACTATACATACTCTCCAAAACTACATTAAAAACTCTGGAGTTTTTCCCAAGAACACAGAGAAAACTGAAGATTTTTGTGAAGGGAATAGTAGGAGGTGTATTTTGAATGTTTCTATTCTAAAGGGTTCTAGACTTAGAATCTACAGCTACCAAAGGGTCTATACATAGAATCCATGGGTCCACGAATTTAGATGAGGGGAAAATTAATTTTTCTCTAATCTCTTACATAAAATTTATCTTTTCCTCAATTATGATTATAAGCCCTTTGATTTTTTAACCAATACAAATCTCAAAATACTTAAACATTGTATTATAGTTATTATAAAAATCTCAAATTCATGGTTTTATCCCTCACAACATACTACTTTAAAGTCACAGAAGTTTTTAGAAGCACTTACATGTTATTTAATATATTAATAATGATGCATGTATATTATAAGATTACAAGTATTTAAAAAAATAACACTTTGATGACTGCATTGGTTTCCTTTGTAGCTAATTATTTTAAAATGTTATTCTCAGGGCTGAGGATGCAACTCAATTGTGGAGCATTTGCCCAGCATACTACATGCTCAGCACGGGGAGCGGGGCAGGGAGAAAAAATTATTCTGAATGAAGTCCAAAGGTTTCACTAAATCACCAGGAGTTCACGTCATAAAAAGAACCTCTGCAGAGGGCTGGGGTTGTAACTCAGTGGTAGAGCACTTGCCTAGCAAGTGTGAGGCACTGGGGTCGATCTTCAGCACCACATAAAAATAAATAAAGGTATTGTGTCTATCGACATCTTAAAAAAAAAAAAAAAAAAAGAACCCCTGCAGAGGATGGAAAACAGATGGGGAGAGGGAACCACAAAGAAAGGAGAGGAACAACCAATTCAAGTTAAAAAAAAAAATTATGAAAATTTAAGCTACAGCAGTAGCAGTGCTGATGAAGACTAGACCAATTTGAAGATAATAAGGAGGTCAAATTATTCTTCTCAAATGTGATTTTCAAATAAGATTATCATCAAAAATTTATAATACAATTGTAAATTTAAAATGCAGAGTTTATTCATATAGTATTATGCTGATTATACTAAAATTCTATTGTGCAAAGAAAACACTGGAACATTATAAAGTATTAAAAAATGTTAAACATGGTTATTACTGGATGATGAATAGTATTAAAAATGCTATTTTTTCCTTTGGATTCATCTAAAATTTACCATATTTTATAAAATAACTATAATAAAAAACAATTTTAAAGTTATTTTGGAAAAATGTTAATGAAATGAAAAAATGCTTATGGTATGTTTTGAAATAAAAAGTATGTGAACTTATGTATATAGTATGATCTCAAAAATATATTAATATTCATATATTGTGATATAGTGAAATTATGGGTAACTTCTTTTTTTTAATATTTATTTTTTAGTTGTAGTTGGACACAATACCTTTATTGATTTTTATGTGGTGCTGAGGATCGAACACAGGGTCTTGGACATGCGAGGCGAGTGCTCTACTGCTGAGCCACAACCCCAGGCCCATGGGTAACTTCTTTATGTTAGATTTTCCATGTTTATTACAGTAACCAAACAATACTTTTATAAATTATATTAATTAAAGAAGGCATAGATGGAAAAGAAAAAGGATTCTTTGGGTTGAGGGCACAGCTTAGTGGTAAAGTGCTTGCCTGGCATATGTGAGGCTCAGGATTCAATCCTTAGCACTGGGGGGAGGGGAGGATTTCTTATGGTTTAAGATCAGATGGAACAAAGGACTGAGATAGGCTAGGGGTAGAGCTCAGTTGGTAGAGTGCCTGCCTCACATGCACAAGGCCCTGGGTTCAATCCCCAGCACCACAAACAAAAAAAGGACTGAGATGACTACAGTCTATTGGTGGGGAATAGGACGCTGAAGGAGTCCACATGTTAGGGGCTCTCATCTCAGTAAAGCAAGAAATCTACGGCAAGCAAGGGGTTGGGTATGACTGGCAGTACTAAAATAAGGGTTAAGGTTTGGAAGAGTCCTGTGGAAATTCAGAGAAATGTCAGATAACACACTGCTCAGCAAGATCTTGAGTGACAAAAGTAAAATGCTATGGATTACTATTCTGGTTCTCAGACTTTGGAACTTTCCTCTACTCTATTAGACTTCCTTTCACTTGTCTATTAATTAATATTTGATTGCTTCTTTATATTATCCTACACTTCCCTCCCCCTTTTCTTTATTTTACTCTAGCTTCCACATACGAGAGAAAACATTTGACTTTTGAGTTTGGCTAATTTCATTTATCAATATATTCTCCATTTCTATCCATTGACTGGCAAATGCCATAAATTCTTTCTTTCTTTCTTTTTTTAAGGGATTGTTTTAAGTGATTTCAGATCATGTTTTAGCAAACACTGGCTTTAGAAGCTGGCCTAAAAACAATGGAAAAATGGATAAAACTTCATATAGTCTCTCTGTTCCCATCACTCTGACTTACACACTGAGTCTAGATGTTCAGATGTTTGTTTTGTGGGGTTTTTTGGTGGGCATGTGTTCTTTTGTTGGTTTTGTTTTAAAATCTCAGGAGAATAAAAATCAGCTTAGAAAAACAGGTGAAAAAAGAGTGGCAAAGTCAGGGCACACCAACAGTTTAAAAATTCACTATTCTCTACATTGCAGAACATCAGACCAAACTACAGGGCACCTTACCTTCAGCAGGAGAGCAAAATTACTCTGCAGAGACTTAGTCACACCATTTTCATACAATTTTTTCCTCAGGTGGTTTTCACTTCCACTCCCATTGCCAGATTGGTATTTCAATAACGACTTTAGCATGGTTTCAAAAGGGTCCACTGAAACAGAGAGATTATTTTTAAATAAAAATAATCACCTCAAAATAAAAACCCAACAAATATGTCTAGCAAAAAAAAATAAAGAAATAGGGAAGCAAGGGATGATAGCCCAGAGTACAACAATTTTTTTCACACTTCTTTAACAATCTTTCCAAAATGTGAACAGTTCAAGAGTCAACTAGCTAATCAGATTCCCAAAAACATTTATGACCCGTTATTTTTTGTTACAAAATGCTACCTTTATCCTTTGTACTTGGTTTGTCTTATTTGCTTATGAATTACCTCCTCTACCCCATCAATCTGTCTAATCCTATCACAGAACAAAATTCTTTAAATTAATATGGCTTTACTATATACTATACTATCTGATAGTACAAAGTTTTTCTTTGTTAATATCTTTTTTAGATTTATCCTGGCTGCTCATGTAAATTTTACACTTCCAGATGCACCCAGTAACTCCCCATCCCAATATAAAGCATTTAATCTGGAATTATTTTTTCCACATTTTTACTGGTACATTATAATTGTATACAATCATGGGCCTGATATATATTTATTCATGTACATAATATAATAATTTGGCCAATATCATTCCACAGTATTTTCCCTTTCCTTCACCTCCTCCCTTCCCCTGGTCCTTTTCCTCTACTCCACTAATCTCCCTTCAACTTTCATAAGATCCCTCACAACCTTTCTTTTTCTTTTGTCCTCCCTAGCCTGCACATATGAGAGAAATATGTGACCCTTGACTTTCTGATTCTGGCTTATTTCACTTAACGTTCTCAAGTTCCATCTATTTTCAAGCAAATGACATAATTTCATTCTTCTTTATGCTATTGTGTAGATAGACCACATTTTCTTTATCCATTCATCCATTGATGGACACCCTAGGCTGGTAAACTGTACTGCTATAAACATCTGTATGTATATGTTGCTATAGTATGCTGACTCAAATTTTTTAGGATAAGTATCAAGGAGTGCTATTGCTGAATCATATGGTGGTTCCATTCCTAGTCTTTGGAGGAACCTCCATACTGATTTCCATAGTGGTTGTGCTAATTTACAATATCACCAACAGTGTAAAAGTTCTTTTTCTCCACATCCTCACTAGCATTTCTTATTGTTTATGTTCTTGATGAGTGCCATTCTAACTGGCGTGAGATGAAATCTCAGTGTAGTTTTGCATTTCTCTAATTGCTAATGATGATGAACATTTTCTCATATATTTATTGGCCATCTGTATTTCTTCTTTTAAGAATGTCTGTTTAGTTCATTTATACATTTATTCATTGGGTTGTTTTCTTATTTGATATTACACTTTTTGAGTTCTTTACGTATTCTGGATTTTAATCCTCAATCAAAAGAGTAGCCAACAAAGATTTTCTCCCATTCTGTAGGTTTTCTCTTCACATTCTTAATTATTTCTTTTGCTGTGAAGAAACTTTTCATTATTTTCTGAACCACTAAAAGATCCTACAATAATTTACATTTTCATTGTGTATATCTATAAATAAAAGAAAAAAATACACTTTTACAATACTGAGTTTTAAGTGTGTAATAAAGATTTCAGCACAATGACTAGTACACAGTATAAAACGTTCACTAAATATTAGCTAATCCTACCTAAGAATAACGTATACTTCTTCATAAACATTTATTCTTAAAAGATAAGGATCAACTAATAGACTTTTAACTTACATGTCTTATTGGGGTTGATATGCTGCTTCAGTACATCCACAGTGCCCAAACTAACCACAAGACGCCTGCCAAACCAGAAAGAAACCACAGGCCCATATCTCTCATGCAAACCAACCAGGAACTCGTGTAAACTTCCATTGTTCACTATATCTGGAAGATTACCATCTCTGATAAAAGAGTAAAATTTAACAAAGTCATCCATCAATTTAACTTGGAAAAAAATCAGAAAAACCATACTTGATTCTGAATTAACTACATAAACAGATGAGGTTATGTTTGTGAAATTCAAATTACTGCAAAATCCAAAACTCAATTACATTTGCCCTCTTGTTATATTTCTATAGGTATATTTAAAAATGGATTTGTATGGGAATTACTCTTCAATGCAAATAAGAATGTCACACAACGAACATGTGACACATTCTGGAGAACTACCCAACTACTATAGCACCTTGTCCTGAGATAGCAGTGGACATCATAATAGGCTGATGAAATCAGATCAATTATGGCAATTTTTTTCTTCTTTCCTTCTATCTTGTCCTATTGTCAGCTTTTTCTGGCAAGGAGTAGTGAAAGCAATTAATGTTTCTGATTTACAAAGCCCTCCTTTCAGCTCTTAACAAAGTTTAGGTCTATGTCAACAGTTAAAGTTAAAGCAAATAAAGGAAGCGAATAAGATGAATAATCCAAAAATATGGTTTACTTTTTACTATATATTTTTTTAGTTATAGATGAACACAATATCTTTATTAATCTTTTTTTTTAATGTCGTGCTAAGAATCGAACCTAGTGCCTCAGGCATGCGAGGCAAATGCCCTACCACTGAGCCTCAACCTCAGACCCTGGTTTACTTTTGATACCAAAAATAAGTTGATTCCAAAAAGTTTATTCCAAAAATAAGTTTACTCCAAAATAAATTTATTCCAAAAGAAATAATTACTCACTTTTCTTCAGTTGGAGTAATCCCTGGAATTCCTGCAGCCTGTCTGGAAGCCTTCAAGAAAAAAAAAAAAAGTTTAGTATAATGAATTATCATATATCCCACAAGTCTGATGTGTTTTATTAAGACATATGTAGGACCTTAAGAAGTGGATTTCCTATTCCAAGTTGACGCTAAGGAATTATTTCTATATTAAAATATTTTTAAAATAGTGCCTCTGCATACAATAGAATTACCTTAATATTCTTCCCTACACCAATTAAACTAAATTATTCAAAGAATATCCTTTTTTTTTTTGGCAATTGTAGATGGACAGCATGCCTTTATTTTATTTGTGTATTTTTTTTAATGTGGTGCTGAGGATCGAACCAAGTACCTCCCACATGCAAGGCAAGAGCTCTGCCACTGAGCTACAGCCCCAGCCCCCAGGTACATTTTTCTTTGTTCTGAGTCTATGAATTGTCTTAGCTGGCTTGACTTAAAAACACAATCAAGTGGTGCTTGGTGGTGTAGGCCTATAATCCCAGCAACTTGGAAGGCTGAGGCAAGAGGATTATAAATTCAAAGCCAGCCTCAGCAACTTAAGTGAGGCCCTAAGCAATTTAGCAAGACCCTATCTCAAAATAAAAAATAAAAAGGTCTGGGGATGTGGCTTAGCACCCTTAGGTTCAATCCCTGGTACACAATAAATAAATAAATAAATAAATGTTCATGCTTATAATAACTTCATCCCGGAAACAATCACACTCTTTCTAATCAAACAATTTACCGAAATACAGTGATTGCTATGGACTGAATGTCTGTGTCCTCAAAATTCATATGTTGACATCTAATTCCCAAAGTGATAGGACTGTGGGAGGTAAGCGGGCAGAGTTCAAACGAATGAAATCATGCCATGGTTAAGTTGGGAAGGAACTTGTTTGCCCAGTCCACCATGTGAAGACAGAGCAAGAATGCACAATCCATGAACCAAGAAATGAAGCCTCACCAGAAACTTCCCAGTCCCCAGAACTGGCAGAAATAAATTTCTGTTGTTTATAAGCCATACACCTTATGTATCTATAACAGGAGCCCAAAAAGACTAAGACAATAATATTCCTCTTTTTTTTTTTTTAAGTGTAGTACAGTCAGTAAGGTGTCTGGTATAAAAATATATTAAGTGATAAGAGAATTCACAGTAAACTGTTGAGTGACATCCTTTAAGGAATGAATTTTGGGGGAGTTTAGGGGATTTTGATTTTTTTAATTTTCTTTTTTAATTTTTTAAGTTATTGTCTTATTCATTTATTTTATATGTAGTGCTGAGAATTTAACCCAGTGCCTCATACATGTAAGGCAAGTGTTCTACCACTAACCCACAACCCCAGGCCAATTTTTTTTACAATTTTCTACTGGGTTTATGGTGGCTAGGGCTGGGGATCAGCGTTATTTTAAATTTTATAATAAGTGTATGTTACTTACTAAACTTTTTACAAAACAGTTCTTAAATAAATACTCAGCTTTAGAATTAATTCTGAATTTTATCAATGATATTGACTAGCACCAATCAGAGTTTTATATATTTGGCATTCTTCTTTTTAATTTAATTTAATTAAATTAAAAATTTTAATTGGACACGATATCTTAATTTTACTCTGGATATGACAGTTCCTTCACTAACTATACTTCATAACAGAAATGAAGGGTGAGCCCCAAAATTCCATGCAAATGCTCTTCTACCCTTTACTGTAGCTACATTTCGAGAATACCTAACATAATGAGGGGTATCCCAAACTGGCATGCACCTAGAAAGAATCTACAAAACTTTAATCTCCCATATAATCATTGTCTTACCATCATAGGCCTTGAGACCATTCAGAATGACGCTATTAATACCTTTTTTCTTACATTAGACAACACAAGAAGCCTAGGACTACCATTTTCCTCATTCCCTAGACCAGCCCAGGAGCTCCTGGACTCTGGCTTTCACAACTCTGTGGAACTGGCTCATTAAAACCCTAATCTGGAGTTTTTCAAGATGGCAGAATAGAGGAGGTCTCATTCCTGGCTGCTCCATGCCATGAAACCAAGAAAGTAGACAGGCAGCTTCTTTACAAGGTAAGAGAACAAAAAAAAAGCAGGGGGGTTGTATGGAGAGATTTTACTGGAACTTAAAACTAGACATTCAAAGTGGACCAGGGACAGAGGAGGTTGGCTATAATAAAAAAGGAAAAAAATCCCCAGCAGCGTAGCTGCTGCCTTGGCTGGGGGCTTGGAAGCACCTGCCAGGGTGGTCCCTCTGTGAGCATAGTAGAAGGATAAGAGAATTAGAGAAATTTGCATTTTTGGGAAGCCCAAGATGTGTCTGGATACAGAGTGTTTAGAGATCAAGAGCACAGCCCAATAAGCCTGAAAAAAACACTGTGTGATATCTATGGGCAGAGAAAGAAGCTGCCATCTCTCTAAAGGACATGCAGAGGACAAAGGAAGGAACCCATTTTGCAGCTGTGGTGCGGGGTCCAGCAGCTGAGGAAGCCCATCCTTGGCAAACCTGAGTCTGGCCCAAAATATAAGCCCAGTAAACACATTCTGCACAACATAGTGTGCTTAAGTGACCAGGAGAAAATCAAACCGGGAGACAGATTTATATGGGAGACAACTGGTCATGGAAACCTACCTGGCTCTTCCCCTCCCTCTCCAATCCAACTGCTTGCAGGACCTGCTGGAAGAGACATATCTAGCCTGGAACTCGCAATGGTACTGGTGGGAGAGATTGTTTCTCTAAACTTGAAACCAGGAAAGGTGGGGTTTGTGGGTGACATGGGGGACTAAAAATTGTCTCCCCACCACACAAGTGGATTTCCCCTGAGGTACAGTCTTCTAGCATGGACCAGCAAGTGCTGGGCACTGGAGGTGTGCTGATTTAAAACCTCCAGACCAACTGGCATTCAGCAAAGAGCCTGCAGCCCACCTAAACCTAAATCCTGCCTCCTGGAACTCCATCTACAGGATTACCTCTCTCACTTCAGTAATCCAGAGGGTGGAGCATCACACTCCAGAAAACCCCACCTAAAACTGCTGAGAATGTTTTGAACATTCTCAACAATGGAAAGAACTGTTAAATTTTTTGTTAAGATTTTTTTCTTTAATTATTTTTCTCCATTTAATTGTGACCTTGATGGTACATGGACATTTATACATTTTCATATTTTTTTTCTTCATCTCTAGCATCTCTGAAGCCAGTTACATTTCATGGATTAGTTTTTTTTTGTGACCTACGATGTTTGATTAGTATATTTTAGTTTTGTACTCTTTTATTTTTATTTTTAATTTATCATATATGTGTGTGTGTGTGTGTATATATATATATATATATGTGTGTGTGTATATATATATATATATGTGTGTGTGTATATATATATATATATATATATATATATATATATATAATGTATATAATCTCCTACCTATTTCCTTGATTGTCTCTTTTCTTCCATTAGACAATCCCCATTGTTCTCTCTTTCACTCTTCCTTTTATCTTTTACTCTGTCTTCTCTCCTCCTCCCTCATAATTATCACATCCTAAAAAACTCTGGTCTCTCCCTGTCCATCATCTGAAATTCTAAAAGCTTTTGCAAAGTTGCTATATAGTAGGCAATAACTGATCGTATCATTTCTGTTTATTGTGATAATTAACATTGTAGATGTCATAGTAGGAACTATTTGGTTTAATGCTGCATATTGTTTGCATTGTTGTGATTATTTGTCTCCCCCTAAACAGTGAGATACTGGAAAACTTCAGGGACACTATACTTCCAACAGAGTGGAAACTCTACTGCCTCAGATCCACTCTGATACATGGGTAGACATATAAACAACATGAAAAAGCAAAGAAAAAATTTACCCCAAACAAACCAAGATACTCCAATAACCAATTCCATCAATACCATGCTGGAAGAAACACCAGAGAAAGAGTTCAAAATGTACATAGTTAAACTGATCTGCAAAGGAAAGGACAGTATAAGGAATGCAATCAGAGAAGAAATACAGGAAATGAAAGATCAATTCAATAAAGAGGCAGAGAGAGATCCTGTGGGGGAAAAAAAAAGCAGAAATCCTCAAAATGAATGAAACAATAAGCCAAATTAAAAACTCAATTCACCAACAGACTAGACCACTTGGAAGACAGAACCTCAGGCAATAAAGACAAAATATATAATCTTGAAAATAGCAGTGACCATGGAGAGAAGATGTTAAGAAACCATGAACAGAACTTCCAAGAAATATGGGATAACATGAAAAGACCAAGTAAGATTTATCAGGATAGATGAAGGCATGAAGATACAAATTAAAAGAATGCACAATCTTTTCAATGAAATAAGATCAGAAAATTTCCCAAATCTAAAGAATGACATGGAAAATCAAACACAAGACGCTAATACGACCCTAAATGTACAAAATTACAACAGACCCACACCAAGGCACATTGCAATGACAATGCCTAGCATAAGGAATAGGGAGAATTTTAAAGGTTGCAAGAAAAAAATTAAATTACATATGGGGGAAACTAATTGGATCTCAGCTGATTTTTCAACCCAGACCCTCAAAACTAGGAGGTCCTGAAATAACAGAGCTCTGAAAGAAAATGGATGCCAACCAAGAATCCTATATCCAACAAAATTAAGCTTCAGATTTGAAGATGAAATAAAAACCTTCTATGATAAACAAAAGTAAATCAGAAGAAGAAGGAAGGAACTACACTCAAGGAATAGTCAATCAAAGGAGACACTAATTCAAATTAAAAACTAGAAATAAACCAAAATGACCAGGAATACAAATCATATTTCAATAATAACCTTAAATGTTAATAGCCTAAACTCATCAATCAAAAGACAAAGACTGGCAGATCAGATTAAAAAACAAGATCCAACAATATGCTGTCTCCAAAAGATTCACCTTATAGGCAAAGACAGCCATAGACTGGAAGGTAAAAAGATGGGAAAAAAACATATCACTCATATGGATTGTATAAACAAGAAGGGATTTCTTTCCTTATATCAGATAAAGTGGACTTC